ACACATAGATATATGTATAAATGAAATATAGTATAGTTTTTTGGTATTTTTGAAATTTTCTAGGAAGGGTTTGATGGTGGGAAATTTCTGCAGTTGCTTTTTTCACTTCACATTCACTCATGTCGATCCGTGTGACTCTTGTCCACTGCCCCTGGATAGCCCCTCTGTGCCAAGGGGTTCTCCCACTGCTGGACACTCCCATTGTCGCTAGTTTTGCTATAGACCCTTAAAGAGCAGGCCTCCCCAGGGAGACAGGGACATTCTTGTACACATCTCTTTGGGAAGGCCTGATCTTTAAATGCCAAGTTTAATTTTAACCCCTTTTGAATTAGTCTTTGTGAATCTGGTAAATTGCTGTATTTCCCTGGGCCTCAGTTTTCTTAGGCACACAGGGATGACTGAACTAAATGATCTCTAAGGTTCTTTCTAAGCCTAGAATTCTGTGATTCCTTTCATGCTGTTTTCCTGGCTCCTTATAGTATATTATATATATACACACACATATATATATATCAGTTATGAGTAACTGTTTAGCATGAGAATCAATTCAGAAAAAAATCTGTGTGTGCATGTGTGTATGTGTGTGTTTGAATTCAAAATAAATAATTTCAAAATAAAAAATGGCTTTGAGTCCCTTGGGAATGTTTCTTACAATGTAGATTTCCTGTTTTATTGACTCGATAAATATTAATGACAAAACTAGCGCTGCTTTAAAGCCACCAGAAAATTAACGTTGGGGCACATTCCGGGACACATGGAAGCAGCGTCAGAGTCTTGTCTCCTGAACGTAGATGTTGGGCTGTGTTGCCAGCTGGGCAGGCGGCATGAAGCCTAGTGGCTGATGGACTGCTCGTGAGTTGGGATGACTCAGGGTCGTCATTTTGAACATGAGTTATCATATTATGTACTGCCAAGAAATGATGTTTTCTAAAAGGCTGTTGAAATGTGAAGGGCTTCTTTTTACCCTAAACGTAATGCTCTTCAGAAGCGATGTTTGAGATTGTATAGTCCTTTAAAAACAAATAAGTAAAGTTGCTCCCTTCCTGCCAGAATGAGCTGTGGTAGTTCTTGTTGCCGTTGATAGGACATTCCCCTCCTTCTTTGTGGTCTCTAATCATCTGGGGCAAGGGCGCAGGCCTGTCCTTTGGAACTGGGACTTTCGGGCAGTGAAGATCATGGTTTAATGCACAGATGTGGCAGCTGCTTGGTTTGCTCATTGTCTTTTTTTCCCCTTCATATTTTCTGCTTGTGGCTGAACACTGGATGAAGTACTAGAGTTGTCATTAAACTTAGTAACATTTACGTCAGGATAGTAGTGATCGTGATATTCAGATAGCTATGAATATTAAATTCTCCTAATTGAGAGATCTGAGTATTATTCTGATGGATACAATGACCAATTCAACAGCTTTTCCACTCTCTCCTGTTTTTAGCAGTCCTGTGAGTCAGGGAAGTGACTAGCTCCAGGGATGGGTTTTGATTAATCTAAATTTAGGGATGAGTTTAGATTAATCCAGTCTTGGGAACTGCCCATGGCAGTGATTGGTTCCTGAACTCAGCATTAGCCCCTAGAACATGACATTCTCATGGTTGTAATTCCAGAAGTGAAACATGAAGGAAAGGTCGCTGGAGGCTTTGGGAAAACATTTCCTCACTTTGAAGTGAGAGGCACAAGAAGATGATCTCTTTGCTTCTCAGTATTGCTGCGGTGGTCAGGAACCGTTGTCAGTCAGGGGATGAAACTGATCCTCCCAGAAGGGCAGAGCCCAAGGAGATACAGAGAAATGAAACGGAAGTACAGAATTGAGCCATCCCTGAACCCCCAACTCACCACTGGGCTTGTTATATGAGTCGACAAATTACCTTAAGCTAGTTTGATTTGGGGTTTCTGTTAGTTGCAGCCAAAAGCATCCTGACTGATATAATTATATTGCTATATTATGACGGGTTATTCTAATTCTAGAGTAGTCTCAGGAAGTTATCTTTTCTTTAAATGTTAAAGTGAGTGGTAATCCACCATATAATCTACTGATAGTTATCAGTTGAACTAACTGTAATGTAAAGACCTTGATTTTCATATTGTAATAGATTTCTTAGCATTCTTCGTCTTGTTTCTATGGCCTGCTAAGCAAACTTAGAACTTCCATGGTTTTCTTAGCTCCCTTCACTCTTAGTAGAATGTAACCTTTCCTCTCCTAAGAGCATTTTACCTTTTCTTATCTGTGCCTCTTTCTGTAGGCAACCTCACTGGCAGAGAGAGGATGGGGCCCTTGTTTGACTGGGGAGCAGTTCAGAGCAGTATGGTAACCACACCAAATAACACAGGATTAAACCAGGACCTGCCCTGTCAGGGATGGACGTGGCCAGGTAGAGAACTGAAGGGGGAAGGAGGGGGAGGACCCACAGTTAGCATCCTCAGGGAAGGCTGCCACGGGAGGGGGCCCTGACACGCGGAGGGGAGGAGGTGTGGGGCAGAGACACAGAAGGCTGCCGTCGGAGGGAGGCTCCGAGGGTTGCAGTGTCAGGAGAGCGAGCGGTGCCTCTGGTGGGAACAGCCGCATTGCCAGGCAGAGGACGTCGGGCCCACAGCTTCTCGAAGACTGAGGTGACGTGACTGTGGAGATTGTTGACAGTTACTCTCACGGTGGCATGCAGGGGAGTTAGAACCGGGGGAGATGTTGACACGGAGTCCTGGGACACTGTTACCATAATTCACACGTGAAGTGACAAGATCTGTAGGATCATAGCATCTGGATGTGTAATATTTTACAGTTATCTGGAATTTCAGAGTTCCTAAAGCACATTCAGACACATTATCTAATTTATCTAATTAGGTCCCCCTCACCTTTTTCTGTGGATGAGGATATAGACGTTCAGAGCAGTCAAACATCCCCCCCAAAGTTGTTAATGACAGAGCCCAACCTCCAGTCTAGGTCTTTGGCTTTCAGGGCCAGTGCTTTTCAATAATAATATAAATGACATTTTCCATTTTTAGTGAAATTCAAGTTGAGCTGATTTGACTGTGCTCTGTGCATTTGTCTGTCAGCTGGCTCCTGACAGTGGCATGAACAAAAGCTAACCGCCACTGCTCGCAACTCTTCCAAGCACTGAAAACCTCTGAATTGTGAAAAGCTGGTTAAGTTTCACAGATATTGGTAGAACCTCCTCAAATAACAGTAAGGTAGGGGCGCCTGGGTGGCTTAGTCATTTAAGTGCCCGACTTCGGCTCAGGTCATGATCTCATGGTCTCTGGGTTCGTGCCCCACATTGGGCTCTGTGCTGATAGTTTGGATCCTGGAGCCTGCTTCAGAGTGTGTGTGTGTGTGTGTGTGTGTGTGTGTGTGCGCGCGCGCGCGCGCGTGCACGCACCCCTCCCCCACTCATGCTCTATCTCTTTCTGTCTCTCAAAAATAAATAAACATTAAAAAAACATAACAGGGGGTGCCTAGGTGGCTCAGTCGGTTAAGTGTCCAACTCTGGCTCAAGTCATGATCTCATGGTTCGTGGGTTCGAGCCCCGTGTCAGGCTCTGTGCTGAGAGCTCAGAGTCTGAAGCCTGCTTCCGATTCTGTGTGTCTCCCTCTTTCTCTGCCCCTGCCCCTCCCCTGCTCACATTCTGTTCCTCTCTCTCAAAAATTAAAAAAAAAAAAAAAAAAGATTTAAAAATAAAGAAATAAAAAATAACAAAGATAGCCCTTCTAACAAAGACGTAAAACAAAAGACTGGGCCTATAGAAAATTTCCTAAATGTTTTAAATGACTGCAGAGGGACTGAAACTTTAATGAGCATCAAAATGGCAGCCTATTTGGGTGCTCTCTATGTTTGTATGTAGAAACATTGTAGTTAACATAGCTATTGAAGGCTTTTCTCTCCGCAAATAACTGCATTTGATGGTTAAGTCAATATAGTGGATAATTGACATATTTTCTTGAAATGTCTTGGAGACTCCTTTTAGGGGGTTCTGTACAGAATGCGAAAGAATAGAAAAACCTAAAAGCTCAATGGTCAGATGATAAGGATTTAGCAAATTGCATCCAAATTGTATTTATTAACTTGTCCTGTCAGAGAGTAGCAGCTTTTTTCTGATAAAATGATAGGGCATTCTGATGTTTGTCAAGGACTTTGTGGTTCTTTGTAATTGAAATGCTAAATAAGTTTTGAGCTACAATAGTGGGGGGGTGGGGAATAGCTGAGGGAGGGGTTGAACTTTTAAGTGCCAGAGCCCCAAATGATGCTATTAATAGGTTAGAATCATCTGAGAGCTTTTAAATTACTAGTGCACAGATCCCACTCACCAACTAAGTCAGAATCTCAGAATTCGGGGAAGAGAGCAGATCTAGCCATTAGAAGTTTTTTAAATTTCTCCAATTAATTCTAAAGTTCAGCTACGGCTAAAAACCATTCTAGCTGTTTCAGCCCCAGCCAGTAAAATGCAAGAAATGTTTTATTAAAATGTACATAAGATACTTGACGGCTGTGTACAATAAATATGCAGGTTTTTCTCATCCCTGAGCTCAAATAGGCAGGTTTGGGAGCCTGGGGTTATGTTTTTTCCCTTAGTCAGTGGCAGATCCCAAAGAAAAGTGTGCAGGAGTTGGAGAAAGACATTGTAAAAAGGTCCCACAGTGTTTTTTTAGAGAAGGATGGGCCAGAGGGCTAGGAATCATTGTTTATATGTATTTCAGGAAGTGGAAAATATGGCAAGTGCTCAGTCTATCCAAATTATATAACTTTGAGGGATGTGATCCATTTGTAACAAAATAATGAGGCATATAATACGTTCCATTTAACATGTGTGGGAATTCTTTGCAGAGTAATTAGCATTCCTTTCTTCAGCCTGTATTCAGAGGAAACATACCATTCACACCCTCTCTGTGTTCACATTTTCCAGTGCGTTGGAGAGACTTTTTTTTTTCTCAATAGAAATCTTTGTTCTTTTCCTAATAAGACTTGGATTATATTTGGAGAAGTTTAGCATTTCTTTCTTTCTTTTTCTGGCAGGAATTGATTTTAAAATCAGAACGATAGAACTAGATGGAAAGAAAATTAAGCTTCAGATATGGTAAGTAAAACAAAAATTATATACACAGTTTCTACCTTAATTGGGAATTGAAAGTGGGAATTGAAATGTGAAAAATGTGAATTGTGCTAAGTTAGAGGTAACTTGTGATCGCTAAAACATCTTTTCTTTATCAGAACCAAGTGGAAGTGGGTAAATATTCAAAGGTATCTCCACTGAGAATGAGAAGGTAAAGAATGATGCCACTAACCCTTACAGCTGGAGGAGATCTGAGAACTCATTCTACCCAAACGCTAATTTTGTGGGGAAGGAAACTGAAAGCTAAAGAGCACATACACTTTATCGTTATAGTTGTTGCACCTTTGATATCAGATAAGGCAAAAGTATTCAGGCGGTAAGAACCCTTACTGACTTCTTCTGTGGGAAGTACAGATCTAGGCTCTAGGTTCTGTCTCTAACCTGAGGACTTGGACCTGTGCCTTCCCTTATTAGGGCCTCTTTTTCCTCTTTCATAAATTGTTTGGCTGGACTGAAGACATCGGAGTTCCCCTCCAGGTCCGATAGTTTATAATTCATTTTCACATTTCTTGTCTTCAAATAAAAAAATGAGGAACACTGGACAGATCTAACATGTGATGATGACGACAGTAGACAAAGCTTAGGAATCGAGAACAGTATAGATTTAAGGAGACAGGGCAAAATAGTCAAGTAATATATGTCAGCTTTTCCCTTAGGCTGTTTTTCTTCTTTGAATATCAGAACCAGGATAGAACTAGAGCATCATATTGAAACCTCCTAGTCCTTCTTTTACAGAGGAGGAACCTAGGACGCAGAGCGGTAAGTCTGTCTGAGGGCATCCGTCTGGGTTAATGATACCCCTGGGACAGCTCCCCAGATCCGCAGCATGGTGTCGAGCTTCACATGTTAGCCTAGCAGAGTGAGTGGTTCCCAGTATATTTGTTGGAAAACATTGTGAAGGTTACCACAAGTTGCTCTTTTCATCTATTGATACTTAGTAAGAGGCCAAATATTTTAAAGATACTTTTAAAAATTTTAGGGGGGGAAGTATAGAGAATTTCTGACTGTGCTGAACCGTCCCGACCATAGCAGTAAGAGGCCTTTCTGGGAGCCTGCAGTCGGTCAGCTAATCAGAACTTCATACAACATCATAGCACTCTCTGTCAGCACTCTCCGCAGCGAAATAGTCTCCATTCAGTCTTCTTGACCTCCATCGAGGATGGCAGGGTGTCTCCTCCATCCTCACTGCAGAGCGGCTGCCACCTCGAGCAGTGTGTCAGATCAAAATATGGTTAGTTGGCTCAAAGGTGCCTGGCATCTGTTCTCCCCCTGATTTCCTTGCCACATATCAAACAAGTGCCCTGTGTGTCTCATCCTGATCAGTGAGAGAATAGCCAGTTAAGGTGACTGTGGTGTGATGCCTGGCCCTGCGCTGAACAGCTGAGACCTGGGACGCTCCAGTGTCCCTTAAGGCAATGAGCTCTTTAGTGGCTTAGTGACAGACCATAGCCTACCTGAGCCCGTTGCCTCCTGTGCGCAGTGAGGGTGGTGGGCATCATCTGAGCACCGGAGGAAAGTATTTTATAAGGCATATATAAATGTTAAGGTATTTATTGTTTCTGATTTACTGTATTTCCCTTGGGCCTTCATCTCCTGTTTGGGTTTGGCATGCATTCGACTTCTAGTATACTTCCGCACATGCCTCGCTCTCCCCTGCAATTAAATTGTACAGGTTAGTTTGCCTTAGTAGCATAGGGAGTGAATTCGTTCTGGCGGTGTATAGCAAATTTAGAAATATTGATTTGCCCAGGTAGCAAGTCACTTTGACCCCCTTTATAGGGATTGCTTCAATAAGCATAATGAGAAGATTTTTAAAAATTTTCAGAATGTATTTTAATAGAATGCCATCAGCTAAAAAACCAAGACTGTATTGAAGTCTATGTAATTTTGAAGTGTTGTTCGTATTTTCAAGTCTTTGGAAACATTGTCAGCCACCAGGTGTTAAACTCCAGGCTCCCATTTAATCCCAGGCTTTATAGCTGAAAAAATTCTTAAGGAGATCCATTTTAGTGGGTTCTGCTGAGCGGAATTTACACAGTAGTGAGTCCAGCCCACTTGCTTTGCGTTGTACAGAAATCAGACTTTCAGTCAAGAGAGCAAAATGCCTTAATCATTAAGCATTTATAGAAAGGATTATAACTACCCCCAGGGGTCCAAGAATTTAGAACCATTCTCTATTCTCTCCCACGTGTGTTTAACTAATATAACATGCCAGTTCCTAGCGGGGCCATGTATTTTCCTGTTGCTGCTTTTATCATCAAGGACCAAGTTCCCCACCAAAGTCACTGTGAGCTCCTGACAGGCTCCTGTGGCCACCACCGCCTGCAGCTCACAGACACACAGCAGGCTCCCGCCGCGGCTTATTCCCCTTCCCTTGAAACCACTGCCTTTGTGAGCAGACCGGAATTGCATTCACAGCTTAAGGTCTCTCCTCGGTGGTGCTGGTGATAACTTTTAAAACCACTTTCTCCTTTGTTTCAAATTTTAGGGACACAGCGGGTCAGGAAAGATTTCGAACCATCACAACGGCATACTATAGAGGAGCCATGGTGAGTGTGTTTTCGGGTTTCATAACTCTTCCGGTGCAAGTAAAGCATGAATATTCATTTGTCAAGTTTATGGGATCCGAGCTAGAGTCAAGTACAGTGGGGAGAGAGATTTTTGGATGTGAAAACAGGACATTTAAAGGGTTTTTTTTTTAATGTTCTGTGGTTAGTAACTGCATACTTTGCCATTGGTTTTCATGATGTTAATCAGGTAAATAGCTTCTAGGTGTTGGAGGACTCTTGCACACATTCTGAGCGATTGTATGTTTTCATGAAAGCTGGGAGACCAGTTAAAGACAAAGCCAGCGATTCAGGTAAAGGCTAATAGATGAGAATATGAATAAGGCCGTGCATGGGAGTCGGGGGGTCACAGTCGGGAGATATTGTGGCAGCTGGGCGTATAGGATTTAGTGACTGACTGGCTGTGAGGAGGTTACTCCCAGGGTCCGCTTGGACTGGCTGGCAGGGCTATGTGGCTCTTTATCAACACAAGAGTACAAAGAGGAAGAGAAGATTTGGAGGGGACAAAGACAACCTTGTGTTTTACTTAGCTGGGTTTTTGTGACCACATGGGACATTTGGGTGCTGATATCCAGTCATGGTCTCCAAAGCACATCTGACCCTGTCTGTCTCTTCGGCCTCATTTTGTGCCCTTCTCCCATTGGATCTGTGCACTCTTACCAAGATGGCTTTCTTTCAGTCAACCCAGTGGGTTCTGGGCCTTTCTGGTCAGCAAGATATTTATGTTTCTGCTGTGTGTTGGGCACTGTGGATTTTCTTTCCTTTGCCCCTGTCTCAACCCCACTGCCCAATTCAAGTTTACTCAGTCCTCAGGTCTTGGCTTTAATGTCATTTTCTCAGAGAAACCTTCCCTGAACAACCCCATCTCCTCAGCCAGATTTGATTAGCATTTGGATTCAGAACTCCCCATGCTGGGACCCCTGGGTGGCTCAGTCAGTTAAGCGTCCGACTCCGACTCTGGCTCAGGTCATGATCTCACGGTTGGGGGTTTGAGCCCTGCGTCAGACTCTGTGCTGACAGCTATCTCAGAGCCTGGAGCCTGATTCAGATTCTGTATCTCCCTCTCTCTCTGACCCCCCCCCACCCCGCTTATGCTGGCTCTCTCTCTCTCTCTCAGAAATAAAACATTAAAAAATTTTTAAAAACCTCCCCATGCTGCTTCATAGCAGTTGTCAAAGTTATAATCCATTGTATAATTATTGGTTTATTGTTTTCTTTCCTAGCTGTGCATGAAAGGAACGGGCCTTGTCTATCTTGGTCACTGCTCGTAGCACTAAGTATATTATCAGACATCCAGTGGGTGCTCACTAAATATTTGTTGAATGGGTGGACAGATAGGTAGAGCTCACACTTAGTACAGGAATGTGGTCTGGTGATACAGATCTTAGATACAGATTTTACGAGTCAGTTAATATATTTCAAGATAAGCCTTTTAAAATACTGGACATGAGGGTCTTTAAAGATAAAAGACATTGCCTTTCATTAAACCTGTATAACAGATGTATTTATTTTAAGTGTCTTTGATTTATGTAGATGATAGTGACATTCTGATCAGTCCATATAAAAAGAAATAATTTTATTTATTTATTGATAAAGATTTTAGTTTTAAGTAATCTCAACATCCATCCTGGGGCTTGAACTCATAGTCCCAAGATCAAGAGTCTTTACCAACTGAGTCAGCTAGGCGCCCCTAAAATTATCTTTTTATTTTTTTATTTTTAAAAAAAAATTTTTTTTTTAATGTTTTATTTATTTCTAGGAGAGAGAGAGAGAGACAGCATGAGCAGGGGAGGGTCAGAGAGAGAGGGAGTCACAGACTGAAACAGGCTCCCGGCTCTGAGCTGGCAGTCAGCACAGAGGCCGACACTGGGCTCGAACCCACGAACTGCGAGATCATGACCTAAGCGAAAGTCGGACGCTTAACCGACTAAGCCACCCAGGCGCCCCTAAAATTTATCTTTCTTTAAAAAGATAATTTTTAGGGGCGCCTGGCTAGCTTAGTCAGTTAAATGTCTGGCTTCAGCTCAGGTCATGATCTCACGGTTCTCAAGTTTGAACCCTGCACCAGGCTTTGTGATGACAGTGCGAATCCTGCTTGAGCCTCTCTCTCTCTCTCTCTCTCTCTCTCTCTCTCTCCTCCTACCCCCCCAATAAATAAATAAATTAAAAAAAAAAGAAATAATTTTATTTGTATTTATTTTTTTAATATTTATTTTTGAGAGTGAGAGAGATAGAGTGTGAGTAGGGGAGGGGCAGAGAGAGAGGGAGACACAGAATCCCAAGCAGACTTCAGGCTCTGAGCTGTCAGCACAGAGCCCAACACGGGGCTCGAACTGATGAACCATGAGATCATGACTTGAGCTAGAATCGGATGCTTAACCGACTGAGCCACCCAGGTGCCCCAAGAAATAATTTTTAAGTAGTATGATTACAATCTTAGTAAAGGAGTAAGAAGCAAGACAATTTCTACTTGTAATAAATGAGTACACCACAATGCTATCTCTGTTTTAACTTAAACACTCTTTTAACTCCAGTTAGTGCTGATTCTTATCACGTGAAGTCAAGTAGAAAGGCTGTATCACCTTTACTGTAATCACTAATTCATTACAGGTTAACAGTAAAAATGTTTACAGACTATCTATTTACATGGTGAGACAATGAAAGTATTTATTTATTTATTTTTGCTTCTCTGTACTTAAACGTTTTTATTATAGTTTATTAAAAAGACAAAGGACAAAAAAAGCAGTTTCTGGACGGTAGGAGTACACTGCCGTTATAGTCTATTACTTTAGGTCTATGAAGTACTAACTAAAAGATGTTTTTTTTCTTCTTAAAGGGGATTATGCTGGTGTATGACATCACAAATGAAAAGTCCTTTGACAATATTAAAAACTGGATAAGAAACATTGAAGAGGTAGGTATGGAAAGAGAATGACGGTGTTACGGAGGAGCCCTGCTTGGTACTGGCACAGGCCTCCTGTCTCGGGAAGAGGCGACAGAGCTGCTGAGAAGTAGGGCACAGGCAGCTTAGAGAGAGACCTCCGGTGCTGCCAGTCTGGCGTCCCTGTCAGACAGGGAGGTACAGCCAGAACAGCAGCTCTACAGATTTCTAAACTTCGGCCGGATCTTGAAAATAATGTCGTCCAAGTCCCACTTCACACGTGAGAACAGAGAGAAGACGCTGGCTTGTGCTCCTTCCTAGAGTTTTCACATCTGACCCTCCGGTTCATGCTGTTGGACTGGCAAAGCTTGCTCTCTCTCCCAGCATTTGATCAGTTTTCCCTTCTAGCATCTTCTCCATGATACATATTTGAAATCTGGTTTAATTCCACATTGACTGGTATTAAAATTTGTTTTTTAAGTCTTTGACGTTTCAGAAAGCAATCTGACTTTGAAAGCATTCTGTGCACATTTATATTAACCTACATGAATTTATATTTGAAGTAGTTCAGAATACAGAATCCCTTCCTCATTGGCTCCCTCAGTCCTGGTTTTTTTTTTCTTCCTTCTTTAACCTAAACTAATATTTGGAAGTTTTGTTGTTGGATAACCGTTGTATTTTCGTTTGTTCATGTACAAAAAGGCCTGAGAATGCCTGCAAGCCTTTGAGGGAAAAGTTAGCACAGGCTCTTAAGCTGTAGCTCTTCCCTCCTCCCATCTTTTACATCTTCCTCTGAAGCAGGCCCTGTGTTGAGCAAAAGATTGTCCTATTAAATTTATGGATATGTTTCTGACAGGTTAGGATTTGCCTATTGAATAACTGTGTTTTTCTCAGGCTGTTTTTATAACATACCATTTTCTCCCTGTAGCATGCCTCTTCAGACGTTGAAAGAATGATCCTGGGTAACAAATGTGATATGAATGACAAAAGACAAGTGTCAAAAGAAAGAGGAGAGAAGGTAAATTTGAACCGAATGCACAAAGATTGGAATCTATTCACTCTAAGCGTTTATTTTCTTAGTATTATTTAATTATTGGTTTCAGTTTGAAACGTATCTGTTATTTTAATCCTTTAGAAAACAACAAAGAGATGTAATCCATACTTGAATGGTGTCAATTAGTATTCGAGATCCAACCCCATTTACTGCGTAGTCATGACTCATTCCTGAAGAATTTGCTGTTTTCTGGGAGATACAAATTGGTCCTTTTTCAGATTCCTGCAGCTTAGAGTTCAGGCTATTCCTTCCATATCTGTGTGAAAAATGCCCTGTTTTATGCCCCGTTTTAAAGGTCAAGTAAAGCATTCTCTTCAAATAAAAGTAATAGAATAGGTGAACTTTAAACAGTAATCATAATCCAATTCATTTTTTCCCCTAAGAATATTGTACTACATGTTAGGTTTAGGTCATTGTGGATAAACTGCTTGTAACTCGTCAAAGCTAAGGATCTCATTTGCAGCCATTTCTCTATTTTGTATCCTGCCAAAAAAGCAAAAATGCTTATTACATGCATATATTTACTTCTCTGACATTTTTTAAATTAACTTAGAGCCTTCAATTTTTAAGTCTTGGAATTTTGCTGTAGCCTTTTTTTAGTGATACATATAAAATACATTTTGTTTTTAAATCTGACTGTAAACTTTCCCCCTATGAACATTCATTTAGTCCTGGTATTTTAAAGGAACTGGGAGTTTTTTGGGAGTAGATGGAAATAGAAACCAGATAAAAATGAAAACAGTGAGTACCTAGTATTTTAAGCTTTCATTCTTTCATGGACCAATTTATTAAAAAATAATGAAAAGTCAGTAGAGTCACTATTGGAGAGTTGTACTTTGGGAGCAGATAAAAGAGGTTAGCTAATTCCAAATTAATGGTAAGAGTCAGTGTCTGTCTCATAGTTTATTTTTTCTTTTTGTGTTTATGTTTGTTTATTTATTCTGAGAGAGTCCATACATGTGCATGGGAGGGGCACAGAGAGACAGATAGAGGGAGACAGATAATCCCAAGCAGGCTCCACGCTGTCAGTGCAGAGCCCTATACAGGGCTTGATCTCACGAACCATGAGATTATGACCTGAGCTGAAATCCAAGAGTCAGATGCTTAACTGACTAAGCCACCCAGGTGCCCATCATAGTTTTTCTTGTAAGTATATTAGAGAACAAAAGTATAGTAGAAAAAAATAAAGTACTTAAATGATGTTTTCAGTGGAGGTGGTGCCATTTTAACTTATGACGCTTAAGTTAGATGTCTGCATTTCAAAAACTTAGAAGAAAGCAAAGAAGTTTGAGAACCACAGAATTCTCAACTAGACACTCTACCTTTAGGACTTTGAGAAACCTAGAAAATAGAAATACTTTATATGTTGAAGCAAACTGAACTGAATTTAAATTTTTCTGTTTGCCTTTCAGTTAGCAATTGACTACGGGATTAAATTCTTGGAGACAAGTGCAAAATCCAGTACAAATGTAGAAGAGGTAAGAAAGAAATATTTGATGACTTCTGGGGTAGCATTAGAACTTAGGTACCTCTGTTCAAGCAACTCTCCAAGACTTGTTATTTTCTTTCTTTTTAAAAAAGTTTTTTAATGTTTTATTATTTATTTTTGAGAGAGAGTGAGACAGAGCGTGAGTGGGAGAAGGGCAAAGAGAGAGAGGGAGACACAGAATCTGAGGCAGGCTCCAGGCTCTGAGCTGTCAGCCCAGAGCCCAATGCAGGGCTCAAACCCACGAACTGTGAGATCATGACCTGAGCTGAAGTCAGACGCTTAACCAACTAATCCAGCTGGGCACCCCGCCCCGTCTTGTAATTTTCTTAGTGAATGTCTTCGGTGAGGTCTACCTCCATATTGTGAACTTTTGTGCGTCTGACTTTATGTGGACTCAGATTATTGAGTTTCTAGCACCAGCCTTCACACGAGCTATATGAGATTGCTCAGTTAAGATTCGCTGAACAGAAGGTAAAAGTTCTTTCAGGTTCACCTTTGCCCTTTGTTTGGGAAGCTGGAAATCCTGCCCTCGCCAAGTAAGCATAGTGTCCTCAGCTCATTTTTCATATTTCCAGTCATCCTATGGTAGCCTGTATCAGGAGAGCCTTAATTACTTTCATGTCTGTACTCTCGCAAGAGAGAATTAAACTGTTTATTGAATTAAGCATGAGACACTGTAGGACAACATTTAGTAGAATTAAGTGTGTCTATCTGAGAGTAGTTTTAGTAAATTTTCAGTAAGTTAACTGTTAAAGACAAGCAAATCATCTAAAGACTTCTAAGAATAGATTTTCTGTATCAAGGGCAGAGTTGTTGATCATTTTTTCTTTTAAAACATTTTTTAAACTGATCACAAAAATGATGTATTGTGTTAATATGGGTAACTCAATAAACAAAAATATTGATGGTTTTATAGACATTTAACTTCTTAGGCTACTCACCGTTCACCATAACATTATTGAAATGACTTTATTGGCTAGTTGGCACTGCTCAGAACTTTTTCTTTGTTTTCAGTAACACTAATATTTTCAGGTTGCCTAATGGGTGTTAGGAAACAGGAAGCTTCTATTGATTAATTACATAAGCATCGATAAGCAGAAAAATGCTTCCACCTGCTTGCCACAAAAAAAAAAGCAGAAAAGGGGGAGCCTCTTCGGAGACACAGGAGAAAGTGTGTTCACTGAGATGGCCCCGATGGGATTGCTCTCACAGAATGAACTCCATACCCTGGCTTAATGGAGCAGGTCTCTGTTCATACCTGCACCCTGCTCACACCAGTGGCTTAGAGCTAGCTTTGAGTTATGGAAATACAGAGCTGGGAGGCGCCTGAGCTGCTTATTCTGACCAGGTGTTCTACAGAAATGAGTGGCTTCCCTAGAGCTTTGACTTAGTGCGGTTGGCTTTTCATAAGAACTAGGATGGGCTTCTCTAGAAACTTAGACTCACGGGTGACCATTGTGACAGCGCAACGTTGATAATAAGTGATGATAGTGGTTATCGTATTGTTTCTATTTGGCTTGATGGGACATAATCCTCCTGGTGAACATCTGTGGAGGCATCAGGAGTGGTTGGAAACAAGAAAATGACAGCATAAGTTTTGCATGGAGACAACTGAAGACACTTTAAGAGTCTTGGCTCTGGAGAGGGGCGTCTGGCCGGCTTAGTCAGTGGAGCATGTGAATCTTGATCTCAGGGTTGTGAGTTCAAGCCCCACATTGGGTGTAGAGATTACTTAAAAAGAAAATATTAGGGGAAAAAAGAGTCCTGGATCTCTAGAAACAAAGTAGAGATGATAGAGTTAAAAAATGTTTGGTGTGGGTCAAGAGACACAAGGCACAAAATGAGATTCTAGAGGTATTCATTCAGTTGTTAAACAGATATTCAGCATCTCCTAGACCAGGCACTGTGCCCTGCTCTGAGGACGTGGGGTGACTTAGAGCCTCCGTGCCACTAGGTGTTCTTGGTGCACTGAGAAAGCTACCCATACCTCAACCAGTGTCACATTAGGAACTTGTGCCAGATATTATGTGCGGAAAATATTTGATGAGTGAATGAATGACAGTTTTATAACACTGGAAAGTAGATCATTGAAAAATAAGACGATATTCACGCATATACTGTGATTATGTTCTTTTCTCAATTAAAAGGTGTCAAATAACTTATAATGAAATAGTGAAAGAATTCCACATTTCTATTTTAAAATATGCTATTAACATATACTAATAAAATGTTTGGTTTACCTTTAGGCATTTTTTACGCTTGCACGAGATATAATGACAAAACTCAACAGAAAAATGGTTTGTATCACTTAACATTTTTATTTTCATTATGCTCTTTGTTAAATTTGTTGTCTTATTCATCCTGTTTATTTATTTGATCAAAAAGATAGGCCTGCTTATAATATATTCATGTTGACTTCTTTTTTTCTGAGCTCACATAGTCACCTGATTGGGCTTTGATTCTTATTTCTGTTGCTTCACATTTTCTTACTTCTCAACCACAGCTGCCTTAGTTCTTTCATCTGACTCTTCAGGTGGCCTTTAATGGAATTTGGACCAGAATAATTAAAATCATAATGACACAAATTAAATTTTTCCCATAAAATTATGTAGCTTAGTTTTCATGTTACAGATATTTATATCTATATGTAATTGTGATCTTAAAGTTGTTAACGTTTGCTTAAATTAGAAATGATCTCAGTGATGAATCATTAGGACCACACTGGAGGTTTGTTTTAACCTGAAGCCTGAATATAATTGTATACCTTATGTTACCAACTCTCCTTACGTCTAACAAGAGTAGTGCCTATAGCAATATCTTAATATTGTTGCCCTCCTTACCCTTGAAAATTTACATTCCATTGGCTATAATTTCTCTGAGCTGGAAATAGGAGCTTCCTATCTAATATATTGTTAACATAAAAGGTACTATCCTAAAAATATTTTTCTTGTTTTAATCCACCACTTCCAAAGAAACAGTGTCAGAGCTTAATGAGTCTCTTTCTAATACAACTCTGCTGAATAAGCATTTATGGTTTGGTTTCATACTTGTGTTCTTTAGATAATTGGATCCAAACCATGAAGCTTTAGTTTCCTTGGTAATTATATTATCTTCCCTTTTTTAGAATGACAGCAATTCATCAGGGGCAGGTGGACCAGTGAAAATAACAGAAAACCGATCAAAGAAGACCAGTTTCTTCCGTTGCTCGCTACTTTGATGAACTCTTTCTGAGAGACTGCAGCACACCTACAGGACTCTTTCCTGCTTCTCTGAAAGCACAGGTCAGCCAGCCTCAGAACCACACCGCCCGGCTGCTGCGGAGAACACCACTGAACCTAGACTTCTCGACACAGAAGGCCACGTGGGTCCCGGCCTCGTGGCCTGGCAAGATAACAGGCTCCTTTTTTCAAACATGGAAGCAATGAAGTGGAGACATACGCAGGACTTAACTTGTTTTTTTCTTTGGTTTGTCCCGGAAGCTGCTATCTTTCTTTTTCACTTTGCACATCGGTGTTAGCCTGTCCCTGCTACAGCACAGTCTCAGACTCGTATCTGCACACTTTTGCCTTGTAAAGTTCCAGACAAACTTGTGTACTTTTGATAAAAGCAAAACATTTAAAGCAGAGATTAATATGCTCAAATTAAAAGATGTTTGGTCTGGTTCATGTGGCCAAATGTTATTGCATTGATAGAATTTTTTTAAGGGTTCTAGTTTGTGATTTCCTTCCATAAGAATCATTAAATTCTGATAAAATTTATCTTAAAAATTCATAAAGATGTCCATCTGTTCATCGGAGGCCACATTTATTTCTCCAGATTGTTTAGAACCTTGCTTCATTCTGGCCTTTTTGCCAGAGAGTTTTGGGGAATAAATCACTTTTTCAGTTGATTACCTCCACCTCATCTATAGAAGCTACATTTGGAAATCACCTTAAGCTCACTTTTCCTGGGGCTTGTATTTACTGTTCTTTCCTATGTTTGACCCATTGTAACCACTCAGTTATCTAAACCATAACATATTTGAACATTGTTGTCTATTTCTAATTGTGAACTTCTTGAGCTGAAATTTTATACAGGCAGAGAGATGTACCATTTAGGTTTTATTTCATCATCTTACTGTGATTCTTTCCCATCAGCATATGTAATGTATTTTTTTCTTAGGTTCGCTCTCTAGCTTGCTGGTTTCATTTGTAATACCCAATCCCTACCGTAATCCCTGTCTGCAAGAGTTAACAAGAATTAGATGTAGACCTTTGTTCGTAGAAAGCTTACCTATAGGGAGAGAGATTAACTTGTTGATATAAATTTAATAGAGATAGCTCTTGGTGATGGTAAACATAATGATTTTTTGTTCTGTTTTTATTTGGGTGTTTTTTTTTTTTTTAAATAAAGGTAGTTAGGCCTAGACCTAGTGCAGCCTCTAGGAAAAGTCTTGCCTTTTTGTTAGAGAAAATATGAGTAAGGTTTCCATTCTAAAACAGCTGTTGTTGGATGTGTAGAACCCAGTTCCGTCTGTTTAGGTTCGTTGTTACAGAACTTGGTCCAGCCATTTGGGCCACAGCCAGCCAAGAACTTAGCGGCCTTTCTCACCAGACACTTGGTACTGGTATACCTTTTGTAGATGAAACCTTCACATAAGGGGAAAAAAAAAGTATTTAGTGTTAACTTATGTGCCAAATTCAAATCATTATGTCATTGCTGTTATTCTAGCCTTCAGTGTCCTAACACAGAAGGGAGTAATAAGTAGGTGATTAGGTAAATGAACTCTCTTAATAATCACTCTTCCTGTTAGGCCTTTTTTGTTTCATGGAGGTTACCGCCACGCTTGATAGTTTAGAGCGGAGAGGAAAATGGAAATGGATTGCTTGTTACCACAGAGCATTGTGCTTCCAGTTAAGATGTACCATTAGAATGCTTGGACCAGTCAACCTGTATTTAGTACTTCTTCGAAAACTTAACGTCCAGTTTAGCAACAGTGAATATACCAGAGCTATTTCTGATGGATATGCTAAACCTAATGTTGACAAATTTCAGCCTTCTTGATTTTTTTTTGTTGTTGAACTACCTGTAGGCGTAGAGGCACCTGCTGGTGTCCCAGTATAATCAGTAGTTGTTTGATTGAAAGTTGATTGTACATCTACCATCTTAAAATGAGATGCATTTTTGGAAAGAAAAAATAATTTTTCAGAAACATCTTGTCTTTACTAATTTTCTGAAGAAAGATCCAAGCAGTTAAGCTTTCTGAATGGTAACAAAGTACTTTCTAACAGGCAAGTGCTATGACACCATGTATGAATGTAATTCTCCTAGTAATTTACCTCTGACTATTTGGTGTCTTAACACTTTGGTTTATATCTCAGGGGTTGTCTGCAAACCAAAACTGACATATTCTGTGGTTAGCTTTTTTCTTTTTAACAGAATGCTTTGCTTTTGATTTATTACTTCCCTCTTCTTGTGTCTTATATGGGTTAATAGTTAGTCTCCATGAATTTCCCTTTGAAAAGAGCCTGTAAAAGTTAGATGAGTCTAAAAGTGCTCTTTGAAGTAGCAGCAATCTGGGGGTATATGCTCTGTTATATAGAAATAAATTGTCCTTGCTATTTTCTTACATTTAGCTTTGCTAAATTGTATATAATTTGAGCTAAGACCATAGGAAATTCCCTTTCTGCATGGTAAAATGACCCAATAAATACTCCACTTTGCTTAATAATGTACATATAGTGCATTATTTTTTCTATTTGTAGATGAATTTAGTGACAGATAATTGTCTGTTCCCTGCTGAAACTGAAGAAATCTAGTTTTGTGTGAACATGTTTGTGGTCTTAGGGATAAGGTACATGAAGACTTTGGCAGCAGTGTTAGTGGTTCGGGGGCTGCACTTTATTATCAGTGTGCTAATTTCTGACAATGATTGGACTAGACCTTTTCAGATAGAGTCTGAGGATGTCAGACCATGAAAATGTGCTGTAACTAAGTAGCATGTAAACCAGTTGATTGTAAAACGTTTCGCTGGGAATTTATTTTAGCTCTGTTTTACTTCATACCGATTATGAGAAAATAATCCACCTGTGCGTCAGTTAGGAGGCGCCACAGGGTTTCTTACTATTTACATGAACATTTTGTGCAGTCTTTGTTATAAATGTTCCGAAGACTATACTCTTTACTCCGAAGGACTATTTTTTAATTATACCTCATTTAGCTAACTAGTATTCTAATACCTGGTAGAAAAACAGTGAGCCAGCCTTTAAGCTTCCAGCACCATTTAGAGTCTATGTTTTGTTTCGGACTAAAGACATCATTGGAAAAGGTAGGAGATAGTTTACTTTAGAATAGAACATACATGTCATATCCACTTAGTGCAGAAAAGGTATTCTCTCCCTGTCTACATTAAGAAATTTAGCTGTGCAATATAGATAAATGTTTGCAGAAATTTGTAAGTAAGAGATTATAACTCCAGTTTATAGATTCTGAATGCTGAGAATCTGTACTAAGACTTATAAAGTTTTTCCTGTGAACAGTAGGTGATACATTTAAGCAGACTCTCCTTTCTAGTTCATGGCTTAGATTTCTTTATAAATTTGAGTACTTACTCTTTAAAGATGAGCTTCTAAGCTTCAAATTTTAAAACAGCATTTCATTACGTTGGTTTACTTAGCTCAGATTTTAAGCACCATTTCAGCTGTCGGGTTTTTTAGAATTTTTCTTTTAACAGAAAGGACATTCCTTTTCCTTCTTGTGATATCCAAAGAAGGGAGGGAAAAGGAATGTCTAAAAATGAAATTCCTTGTCCTAGCAGAACCTAGAGGGACAGGATATCCTAATAAAATTTTAAATCCCAGCACAATTTTACAGGAGAATCAGTCTTTTTTTTTTAGACTAATAATGTTAATGGGAGTCATGTTCAATATGATAAAGTTCTTAATGACTGAAATTTATAGAAGTGAAAATTAGCAAACAATTATTTTAGGGATATTTTCAAATTTTACTTCATTTTTTTCAATTGCTTGTGCCATATGCAAATGCATTTCTTATTGCCAAGAACTAATAGCAACTTATTGCTTCATTTTCTTACCTTTTTTAAAATGTGAATTTAATTATTATAATTCATTCCTATGGCCTTACAGATGGGTTTTATTTTGTTTGTTTGCAGCTGACACTGTAGTTCCTTTAATGCAAAATGCCATAAACGATTGACTAAAATCATGCCCTTTGTGGGAAATATCTAGTCTTTCCATAGAATTATCCATACATAGAACATGTATGTTTTGGCATATTTTACTTTTGCTTCAACGGCTTAATGTGGAAAGCTCCTGCAGATAAAGTAAACCTGTCATGTGGTTAATCTTGTTTAAGCCAATTCATTAACTGTATACTGATAACTGATGCTGTGGTGTTTTTTTTTTTAATGGACTTTATTCCAGGTGAACTTTTTTTTACAATAATGTTCGTCTAAAATAAAAACTACATAATGAAAATACGACTCTGAAATGGACTCCACGTTTAAAAAATGTTTCTTCACATTTGCTAAGTGACTGTGATTCAAACCGTGGTAGAGATATCTTAGCAAACCTATCTGGCCTGAAGTTGTTTAAAACTGAGAAAAATGGCCGGATCTCCTGCTCATACCTACATCAGCAGACATTGAGGTGGTTCTGTTCTGGAACTGTAGCCTTCCCTGCTGAGTCCTCACAAGTGGAGTTTCTGTTGCTTTGTTCTCACTTCCAGATACCACGGACGGAGGCCCTGGCCCTATTGCTGTCGTACCACGGTGCTTGTGCACATTCCTGGCACAAGGTAGCCTTTTGCGTTCAGTCCCACCACCATTTTGAACTTGCACTGTTCTCAAGCTTCCTACTTCTCTCCCTTCACTCTTAGTAAATAGGCCTTTAGGGGCGCCTGGGTGGCTTAGTCGGTTAAGCGTCCGACTTTCGCTTAGGTCATGATCTCGCGGTTCGTGGGTTCGAGCCCCGCGTCGGGCTCTGTGCTGACTGCCAGCTCGGAGCCTGGAGCCTGTTTCAGTCTGTGACTCCCTCTCTGACCCTCCCCTGCTCAAGCTGTCTCTCTCTCTCTCCTAGAAATAAATAAAACATTAAAAAAAAAAAAAAGTAAATAGGCCTTTAACCTCCTGCCTCACAGAGAAAAGCATCAATCAAACACAAGATTCTTAGCCACCTCTTCCTCCTCAACCTGTCGCTTCCATGGGCGGGCTGCCCAACGCCAACCCTCATCCTCACCCCTTCCTTATGAAATAGAGGCATCCCTTTCATTCTGTGCACCTCTCACCACTGCCTCTTCTCTGAACTCTTCCTCCCACCCTCCCCCCACCCCCACCTTGCAGAGAACTCGCAGCTCTTTCTCTTAGACCTTCACCTGTGTTACCCCCGTCCCTTCAGCATCGAAGCAGCCCTGGTATTTGATGTACCTGTAGCAGATCCCAGGGGAGATGTGTAGCAGGCAGATCAGCTTGGAAGTTGATCCAGCCTTTGGCCCCACCTTTTCCTCTTCCTGTTGTAGCTAAGCTAAACAAAGAGTTGCCTAGAGCTCCTGTCTTCAGTTTTTCATTTTTCATTTCTCCCTCAGCTCTCTTCCAGTTTGGCTTCCACCCCCACCACTGACCTTGTGCTTACAACTGCCTAGTTGCTAAAGTAGCGGACAGTTTTCAGTCCTTATCTGGGCTAACCCCTTGGTGGCATTTGACCAGTGTCTCTCTTCCTCCCAGAAATGTTCTCTTGGCTTCTGTGACCGCGTTCTCTTGATTTTCCACTTTTCCAAAAATAATTTCGTCCTTTTTCATGGTTCTTAAATGTTCACAACTCCTGTGATCTGCTGACTAATGGCCCCTAAGAATGTTCGTGTCCTAATCTCTGAAACCTGTGGATGTTACTCTATATATCGAAAGGGGCTTCACAGATGTGAGCAAGTTAAGGATCTTGAAATGGGGGGGTTGTCCTGGATTATTGGGGGGTGGGGAGCATGTAATCCCACGAGTCTTTATGGGAAGGGCATAGGAGGAGTTGGAATCAAGAGGAAACTCTGTGATGACAGAAACAGAGGGAGAAAAGGTGTTATCATGAAGGGCTGTGAGCCAAGGAATGTAGGTAGCCTGGGATCTGGAAAAGGTACGGGAAAAGATTTTCTCCTAAAGTCTCCAAAAGAAACCAACCTGGCCCTAATACCTTGACTCTACACTGGTAAGATGGATTTCATAATTCTGCCCTCCAGAGAGGGCAGAGACTCTTAAGAGAATAGATTTGTATTGCTTTAAAGGCACTAAATTGTGATTATTTGTTACAACAATGATAGGAAACTAATACAGCTTTCAAGTTTATATCTCTAGCCCTACCCTCTCTGCAGATAGGCAGACTCCCAAGTTGATCTGCCCATTGGACATCTCCCCTGGGATCTGCTTCAGGTACCTCAAACATCACATATAATCTGAAACTCATCCTCAGCTCTCCATCTCTCCCCCTTCCCAGCAGTTCCCACCAACAACCCTTAAACCTAAGAGGAAAAAGCTGTTCTCTCTCTTTTTTTTCTCGTGATAGATAGCACCATCACCTACCTAGATTTGCACGCAATTCACAGCCTCAAAGTCTTTTTTTTTTTAAGATTTTACTTTCAAGTAATCTCTCTGCCCAATGTCTCAACCCTTGAGGTCAAGAGTTGCATGCTCAGTAGCCTCCAAGTCTTAGGGATCAAACACCTTAATCTCTTTTTAATCCATCCACCTGTCTATTGTTTCTGCCTCTGTCTTTGTTCAGGCCCCCTCATCTTTTCCCTAGATGGCTGCAACTTCTGCTAACCAGTCTCCCAGTCTCTAACTTATTTTCCTCCACACCAGTTTTCACAGTGTCAACAGGCTTTTAAAACTGGAATCTCCAGGGGCACCTAGGTGGCTCAGTCGGTTAAGCCTTTGATATCAACTCAGGTCATGATCTCATAGTTCATGGGTTCAAGCCCTGTGTCGGGCTCTGTGCTGATAAGCTCACAGCCTGGAGCCTGCTTGGGTTTCTGTGTCTCTGCCTCTGCCCCTTCCCCCACCCCCCCCCCCAAGGAAAATAAAATAAAAATAGTTTAAAAATTGGAACTTCTATCACTGCCAAATTTAATCCTTCAGTGGTAGCTCATAACTTTGGGGGTAAAAAAAGCTAAACTTTGTTTACCCTGGCAAACAAAGCCATTTACCGCCCCCACATCTTTCTCTCTAGCCTTGGCTCTTGTCATACCCTAACTCATACCCATTTTAAATGTCACCAGTAATTGCAGTTTCCCAAATACGCCATGCTTTATCATTCCTTTGCTAATGCTCTTTCTGCTGACTTCCTACCCCTTTTCTGGCTAACTCTTCCTTATCTTTCAAGACTTACTAAGGGCTTTTCTGGGAAGACCCAGCACAACCTATCCAGGTTAGGAGCCCCCTCCTGTGGATTCCCAGAGTGTCACTGTACCAGATTCCAATTGTCAATTTATTTCCTTCCCACTAGACTCTAAGCTCCCAGAAGCATGGGGACCATGTCATTAGCTTTTGAATCCATGGTATTCAGTAAGGAGCCTGGCACATAGTAGGTGTTTAATAACTGTTGAAAGAATCAATGAACTTCAGGAATTATCAAAATTAACGTGTTGAAGAAAGGTAAGTAATTTAGGAGCTGTTTTCCATTTACCATTTTCCATTTTTCCATTTTAAAGAAAGATTTAAAGTAAATATAAAGATTTAAAGTAAATTTAAAGATTTAAAGTAAATTCATCAATGCCTTAGTAAGTATAGCAATAAAAAGAAGCTTCATTATCTGGTTTTTATTCTAGCCCTTACCTTTCATTAGTTTAGTCTTTATTTTTTTTAATTTTTTTTTAATATTTTTTATTTATTTCTAGGAGAGAGAGAGAGAGACAGCGTGAGCAGGGGAGGGTCAGAGAGAGAGGGAGTCACAGACTGAAACAGGCTCCAGGCTCTGAGCTGGCAGTCAGCAAAGAGCCCGACGCGGGGCTCGAACCCACGAACCGCGAGATCATGACCTAAGCGAAAGCCGGACGCTTAACCGACTAAGCCACCCAGGCGCCCCAGTTTAGTCTTTATTAAATACAGGAAAATTTCCTTTTAATAAAATAGATCACCCAGAGAGTTATGTATTGATAAGTTGAGTAAACTTTTTCTCCCCTTTTCTCCATGTGTCCTACTAGCAAGATTTGGGTTTTCCAATATTGGTTCCAGTAATATATGAAAATGCCCCCATAGTAAATAAAATTAATTTCTGCCCTTCAGAAATGCCGTTTTCTTTCACTTTGAGGCCTCTCCACCTGTACTCCATTTCTTCCCTACTTCTTATCTTTGCTAACCCTAAGCAGAGACGTGAATGAGTGCATGTTCTCTTTAGCAAAACCTCACACATTTGGACTGGATGCCCTTCCCTCTTCCTATGTATTCGCACAGCACCCTATCAATACTTGCCTATCTGGCTTCCCACTAGACTGTAAGCTTCACGGAAATAGGAGCACATCTGGTTCATGGTGTATTCCCGTTGCCTAGCATTGTGCCTGATACTTGTTGGCTTTCAGCATGCATTTTGAATGAATGAATAAATGGTTGAGTAAATACAAATCTATCAGCACTACCAGAAATAAACTCAAGTGAATTCATTAGTATCCTGTGAATTACATGTACGTATGTCAAAACCTTATTTGATAAATTGCTAAAATGTGGTATTACTTTTGAACCCCGGCCCCCATACCCAGCTTCCCACATGCACCCAATTCTGAGGAATTCCCTGTAGTCTATATCCAGAGCCATACCATGTGCCAGCCCCCTTCTGCCAGTCACCTCAGGGATTTAACCATCATCACTTAGTACCTTATGTTTTCAAGCCTTCAGAGGAAGCTAATAGTGCATAAAAACTTGAGTCAATAGCACTGCTACTTAGCTTCCGACTCCACTCTCCTAAACAGAACTGTTTGAAGTCAGTGTAAAAGTACTTTTAAGACAGCAGTGCATTATATAAATGTAAGGTGCTATTCAGAGAAAACTTAAAATCAGTTTTCCCAGTAAATAATCATGAATGCTGAAGATGAATATTTTATCAGGGATTTTTCCGATTTGGTCTAGTTGCTTTCTTCTTTTCTTTTCCAAAAGACATCAGTTAAAGATGTCTTTACTGATAGGAGGCAGACTCATTACATTTTACATTACCTTCCCATTTTTTAAAACTGGTTTTGAGGACTAAGGTTGAACTGAAATATGGTCAAGACACCATGAATACAAATTCCCTCAACTTACAGTTCTGCCTGTTGAGTTGCCTACTTCCAAGATATCTGAGGCAGCTTTAACCAAGACACACAAATCTTAGTTACAATTGGGGGAATCAAATCATTAAAATAGGGATAAAATAAGTCATTTTCTAAAGTCATGGCAATAATTATAATGATAAGGCCAGAAGAATAATTGCTATAACCAATTATTAAATTTAGCTCAAGTGCAAGTAAAGCCTGAATATGATGAATTAGCTCTCAAAGCTGAGCATATACATCTGTCAGGAGAAACAAAAATTTTTTCTAGCCCTGAACTGAAGTAGTAAAGTGTAGATCTACTAAAGGTATTGAACAATGATAATTAAAGTTTTATAAAATATCTAGATGGCCATTTGTTGTGTAAAAATCTTAATTTATGCTAAGGACATGAGTACATTGTGCTTCTGTGAAGGCATTGCTGCATGGAGCTGAAGTAATGAATTAATTGCATTTGATAACTTTGATTCAGTATTGAACCCAAAGAATATGTGATGGTGAATCACTCCATTATTTTGAACTGTGTATACAGCAACTCAGTTTCAGTAGGTGCTATATAAAACATTTCAAAATGAAGAAGTATTTTGTAGAGTAAATGGAAAGTATATGTCTGTTTTCAATGAGCAAAGGTAACATTTTACCATAATTAAATAGTTGTAGGGGTGCACAGGTGGCTCAGTCCGTTAAGCTTTTGACTCTTGATTTCATCTGAGGTCATGATCTCACATTTGTGAGATCTAACCCTGCATCAGGCTTTGCACTGACAGAGCAGAGCCTGCTTGAGATTCTGTCTGTGCCTCTCTCTCTCCCTCTGCCCTTACCCCACTCTCGCTCTCTCTCCCTCGGTCTCAAAATAAATAAAATAAACTTAAAAAATAATTAAATACTTGTAGTTGTATTATTTGAAGGTCCATTTTCAGAAATGAGATGCAAAACATTTTCAGTCAGGTACCGTCTACTGGCGTTTGTCTTTCCAGTGTTCATTTCCAAGAGCTTTATTCATGATATTAAACAATGGAGTGGGGATGGCTAACACTTATATACCACTTAGTGTGCAAGCACAACCCTCAAAATAACGCATGAAGTATTATTATTCTTCCCTTTAAACATGGAGAAATATCTTAGATGTGAAATCCAGGAACTTAACCTACTGATTTTAATTCTTCTACCTCTCAGAAATTGTTACATTAATATAAAGTAGCAAATGTTTATAAGTTCCAATTTTTAAATTATTTCGTTCACTGAACAGATATTTAGTGAGCACCTTTTAGGTGTGTGGAAACAGCAAAACAAAACAAAACAAAGCCCCTACCCCCTAAGAATTTACATTTTAATCAGGGACACAAATGAGCAAGTGAAAACAGAGCAGGGAGATTTTACCGTTCGTATAGGGTTGGTGACCGGAGAATGCCTTTAAACACATCCTTTCTGAAGACCTGGGGGTGAGGGGACGGCATAAATAAAAACAACTCTGAGAAGGACAGCTTCGTCCACCACTCTCATATTTTAACTATTGTGAGTTATTGCCTGGGTTACCGCTTTCCCAGCTTGGGTTTTACATACGACGGAGCACGAAGTTCCCGCAACTGTGCGAATGCCAAAATGCGCTTTAAAAAAACAACTTTATTTAAAAATTTTTTAAAAGACAACTTTATTTAGAAGTGGAATCCTACTTCTGTCCGGCGCTGTTTTTCTTCAGGGGACCTGGAATCTTCCCCCTGTTCTGGCTCCAAAGCGGGCTGGGGACCTCCCCTCTTCCCAGCCACCTCGCGGCCGGCACCGGTGACCTGATCAAGGCGCAGGAGCGGTGATGGTGGTTTCGGGGGCTCGAGGCCCGACGCTAAGTAACGTCGCCAGGTGGCCAGGGAAGGGCACCTCGGTATCAAGTAGGCCATGGACGTCCGGTTTGCGGGCGGGGCGTACGGGGTAAGCCTGGCGTTGAGGCCCGGCCCCAGCCCCGCCTTCCAGCATCAGCGCTTCACCCCCTCCGCCCCGCCCCCTCCGCCGCTCTCCTCCGCCCCCTCCGCCGCTCTCCTCCGCCCCCTCCGCCGCTCTCCGCCCCCTCCGCCGCTCTCCGCCCCTCCTGCTCCAGTTCCCTCCACCCCAGCCTAACACCCTCCTCTCCGCCTCCAGGCCTCTCCGCCCCGCCCCAACCTCCCCGCCGTGCCCGCCTACTCCGCCCCGCCTCCAGCCCTCTCCGCCCCGCCCCACCCCTCCGCCCCGCCTCCAGCCCTCTCCGCCCCGCCCCACCCCTCCGCCCCGCCTCCAGCCCTCTCCGCCCCGCCCCCCTCCTCCGCCCCGCCTCCAGCCCCCTCCACCCCGCCTCCGGCCCCCTACGTCGCGCCCTGCCCCCGCCCCCGCGCGGCGCAGAGCTCTGTCAGCGCCTGGCGTACTTCGAGTCCCCGCCAGGCCTCCCGGCCGGCTTCTCCGGTCGCCATGACGGCGGCCGTGTTCTTCGGCTGCGCCTTCATTGCCTTCGGGCCTGCGCTGGCCCTCTACATCTTCACCATCGCCACTGAGCCATTGCGCGTCATCTTCCTCATCATCGGGTGAGGCGGTTGCGCCGGGAAACCAGGGCCCGGGGCTCCCCTCCCCCGCCGTAGATCCCGGCGACCCCCGGCGTCCCCACCAAACGGCTCGACCTTGTTGGTCTTAAAGGGGAGAAAGGTGGGGAGGGGTGAGCCGGGACCCCGGTCTCCTGGTACTTACTCCTCGTCCTCCGAGGGTCGGCGGGAAAATACCAAGAGCCCTGGGGCCCTACAGGGGGGCTCTGGGGAAGGAGCTCACACTGGGTCTCAGAAAGCCCTGATGTTTGGCTCTTGAGTTTTTGCCCGAGGGTCCGTGGGTGGGTTTTAGTGAGTCGTGAGTCCATTAACATTGCATGAAAAAATTGTGGGTAAATTCACATATTCATCTTTTATTTTTCTGGCGGAGGGTTCCTCTATTCCCACAGATTCTCACAGGCATCTGTAGTCCCAAATGGGTTAAGGGCACATTCGCACCTGGTATTTAGGTGCTTTTAAGACGTACGCATGCCCAACCCCTACCCCGGATCCACCACTTCGGCATGTCTAGGGAGGGGGTGGGATTCGGGCTACGTATTTTTTTCTTTAATACTCCCCAGGTGATTCAGGTGTACAGCCAAAGGCTGGAAACCTGTGAAAACCCCGAAGCACCTGTCAGTGCGTCCGCTGGCAGGAGCTTGGTAAATACTGAACTCTGGTGGCGAATGTGGTCATAAACCCGGTTTTCACCTGTCCCGCAGCTCTTCCGGGGCTCCCCACGTCCCCATCCACCCTTGAGTCTCACTTACTACCAGGAGAAACAGCCATGGTAGGCCGGCGAGTCTCCCCTTTTCTGAGCTATTTCACCTCCTAACAGCTGTCGGGAAAGTGCTGCATCACAGGTGTCAATTATAACACAGAGATTTGGGCAAAAGGTTTATAAAGCTTGTTACAATCGTTAAAATCCACAGGTATGTTGTAAAAGCAGGACTGGAAATCTGATTTAGATTTTCAACCATCAGTGGTTTTCGACTTATGAATTTTATACTAATCACCCTGTTAATAGAGATGTAGACATTTTTCTGGAAAAGACTCATACTTACATATCAGTGAGCAATACATTAATTAGGAAGAGTAGCAAATAAGTTTCTAGCTCAACGGTCCTTGGCAGATAGCCCGCAGATGTGCTTAGAAATAGCAGGGTCATTGGAAAAAAATGATTATTAGGAAGAGTCTCACATTCCTCTTGGAGGGTATGTTCATCTCCCCAGGGAATATGACCCCTGATTAAGAACAGTTGATCCAGAACATCAGGTTATGAGGCCTTTTTTTTTTTTTTTTTCTTGTTAAGGAGTCAGGAAAAATGTTACTTCTCAAGTAAGGTTTTTTCACTTTTAAGTCTTTATTAATCCTGTTCACTTATACCTTTCCCCCCCCCTCTAATTTTCAGAGCTTTTTTCTGGTTGATATCTCTGCTGTTTTCCTCTCTTTTTTGGTTCATGGCAAGAACCATTATTGACAACAAAGATGGACCAATACAGAAATATCTGCTGATCTTGGGAGTTTTAGTCTCAGTCGTTGTCCAAGAAATGTTTCGGTTTGCGTATTATAAACTTCTGAAGTAAGTTACATGTTTGCTCTACCTTTTTTTTTTTTTTTTGCATTAATACTTGAGTTATGATTTAGTAGTTTGAAAACGTTAATTTAATGTGATGTTTGAGTGTCTGTGCCTTCCTAACAAAGTTGAAAGTCAAGGGAGCGTACATTTCCAGCTTGAAAATATTGAGTATTTTAACTTGGGGACATTGCTTCCTTCCTTCCTTCACTCATTCAAAGAATATTTCTTGAGAATTTACTTAGTGCCAGGCACTATCGTATTCCCTGGAGATGATATATCATGATTAAAAGACAGTCTCTGTCTTCACGGAGGTTATGTTATAGTGGAAAGAGATGACGAATGAACCGGAAGATACATTGTATATTAGAAGATAATAAGCGTCTTACAGAAAAATAAGCCAGAGAAATAGTCGTTGAAACAAGAAAACAACCTGTTCAAGGTTAGAATTTCTATGTGCTTCTCTTTGCTGCCACTTAAAGAATTCTTGTGGAGATTATGCCTACCGTTATTTTAACTGTATTAAGGGAAAACTGGGGTTTCTTTTGTGATATTTCATGACATTTCTTATCTGTAATAGAAAAATAGATTTAAAAAGAAGCCATGGTCTTGAGTTCCATTTTTAGGTCAGAAAGTAAGTCATCTGTAGGACACGTGAAGACTTCACATGAAACCACATGTGATTTGAAACACAGCTAGAACTTGGGACCATATTTTCTTTCAGGCAGTCATGAGGTTGACTTTGATTATGTAGTAAAAATTAATAAAGTGGTAAGTGTGCTCTCTTTATTTCCGCAAATGAGATGATTAAGGTATTCCATGAATTTCATAGATGAAATCTTGCCTACAACATCTCTTGTAATAGGCCTCTGGTAATTTGTTCTTGCCAGTATGCTAGGCCTTCTCGATTTTTTACTTGTTGCTTTTAATAACAGATCTTGAAATTTAATAATGAAGCCATTGTAATTATAAATAACAAACCCAGGAAGCCATTGCTTAGAACCAAAAGTCCTATCTTTAGAAAAGATTTAAAAATGAAATTTCCACTAGTTTCTGGAAATATTAAAGAGCAACAACAAGGGACGCCTGGGTGGTTCAGTCGGTTGGGCATCTGACTGTGGCTTAGGTCATGATCTCACAGTTCGTGGGTTCGAGCCCTGCGTCGGGCTCTGTGCTGACAGCCAGCTCAGAGCCTGGAGCCTGTTTCAGATTCTGTATCTCCCTCTCTCTCTGACCCTCCCCTGCTCACGCTGCCCAACCCCCCTCTCTCTCTTTCTCTCAGAAACAAATAAAACATTAAAAAAAATTTAAAGAGCAACAACAAAATACTGACAATTACATTTAAGTTTCCACAGGAATATGCTATCCTTAACAGATGGACCATCTATGTACCTGTGGTTGAATGTTTCTGGTACGCAGCAGTTACTTTCATTCCAAAATTTAATTTTAACTTTAGAATATATTAAGGTAATCAGAATCTCCCTCTGACCTCTGCCCCACATGGCCAGATGAAATCTTTGTCACATGGTTGTCATCTTGTCTATGTCAAGGCTATGCATACCTCATTTCTTCACCTGGCCCTCAGAAGACTTAGAATTGGCTTCCAAACCTTTACCATCTCTGTTCTTTTATGTCACTAGACACACGTCTTCTTAGGGCCTGGAGTTTACCTGTGCTTAGGACGAGCATAGTACTCTGCTGTGGTCGAAGTGGTACAAAGAGCAGTGCCCCTTCCCGCCCTTGACTGGGCACTGTCCTCTTAACAGTGCAGCCTCAGAGTGCACTAGTTTTTTCCTGTCAGCAACATCATTGGCTCATATTGTTTTACATGGTCACACATGACGATCCTGATTTTGAAATAGGTTAATTTTGGGTAGATTTTCACAGTTCAGGGTATAACCCGACTTACCTGGAGTGGCTCAATCTGCTGTTCTTTACCACCTTCTGATGGCATCTACCTGGAATGCAGCCTTTTGTTTTGCACTGTCGTATGTTTCTAAAGGACTGGAGGCTGAACAGTACCATCTTTAGTGAGGGTAGGGAAGGAGTGGGGCCATATGTGGAAGGAATTACAGATCTGTCTGATGCCTCTCATGCCCACAAGTTCAGAAAAGCCTCTTTGACCTTCTGGGGAAACCATGTTTACTCCTCTAAAAGGGCCTTTGAAAATTAGCAAACAGGTAATAAGACAGACCTGTATTAATAGGTTCCTTTAGGGATACCTGAGTGGCTCAGTCTGTTGAACATCTCTCTTAGGCTCAGGTCATGATCTCACGGTTCTTGGCTTTGAGCCCGGTGTCGGGCTCTATGCTGACAGCTCAGAGCCTGGATCCTGTTACAGATTGTCTGTATCCTTCTCTCTTGGCCCCCCATCCCCACTCGCACTCTGTCTCTCAAAAATTAATAAAAATTTAGAAAAAAATAGGTGCCTTTATTTGACATTGCAGAATGCATCTTGACCAAACCTTTTGATTTTTTCTACATCTTCCTAGCACATTTTAGACATGTTGGCTGTCATGTAGTTATGTGTTAAAGCAAGTCTGAGAATTATTATGATACTTTATTCATGACTAACATATATATAAATACATTAAAAAAATTTTTTTTAATGTTTTATTTCTTTCTAGGAGAGAGAGAGAGAGAGACAGTGCGAGCAGGGGAGGGTCAGAGAGAGAGGGAGTCACAGACTCTGAAACAGGCTCCAGGCTCTGAGCTGGCGGTCAGCACAGAGCCCGACGCGGGGCTCGAACCCACAAACCGCGAGATCATGACCTAAGCGAAAGTCGGACGTTTAACCGACTAAGCCACCCAGGCACCCCATATAAATACATTTAAGTTGTCTTATGCTACGCTATATTTAAATATAGGGACCTTGGGGCGCCTGGGTACCCCATATAAATACATTTAAGTTGTCTTATGCTACGCTATATTTAAATATAGGGACCTTGGGGCGCCTGGGTACCCCATATAAATACATTTAAGTTGTCTTATGCTACGCTATATTTAAATATAGGGACCTTGGGGCGCCTGGGTGGCTTAGTCAGTTAAGCGTCCGACTTTCGCTTAGGTCATGATCTCGCGGTTCGTGGGTTCGAGCCCCGCATCGGGCTCTGTGCTGACCGCCAGCTCAGAGCCTGGAGCCTGTTTCAGAGTCTGTGTCTCCCTCTCTCTCTGACCCTCCCCTGCTCTCATTGTCTCTCTCTCTCTCCTAGAAAGAAATAAAAAATATTTTAAAAAAATATATAAATAAATAAATATAGGGACCTTGATTCGATCAATATTTTAACTATCTCTACTGTCAAAGTAGGTTTTCAACTTTTAAGTTTAAAGTACTGCCTTAATCACATTTTTGCTATCTGAATTTGGTGCCAAGATTAAAAAGTGGACTGTTTTGCACCAGTTTTTTACATATATGAAATTGATTTATAATGTTTATCGTTGTGATCTAGTATAGGTTTATTTTATGGGTCAGGCATTAGGAAAAGTACTTCATCTTGAATAATGAATAAATGAATAATAACTTTCAGCCTAGCAAAGGGTTGTATTGTGAGAAGCTGGCACGTGGCTACAAGTGATAGCTCTTTCTGTATTAATTTTTTTTAATTCAAATTATGGTCCTTTACATTGCCTAAAACATACATTAAAAAAATGTTGGCTTGGGTTAACCTTTTGCAATTTAATCCAATTTTGTTTTACATTGCTGATACCATAAATATTTCCTACTTTTAGAAAATCTTCCATTTATAGAAGAAAAGTTAAGATAATCATTACTATAGTTTCTTAAAAGGCATAAATAGGTTTTTAAGTTTTTCTAAAATGGAATGTTTATATTCATATTTTTTGATACTGCTTGTCTCTTATATACATATACAAAAAAGAAAACAAAGAGGGGCCCCTGGGTGGCTCAGTCGGTTAAGCATTGACTTCAGCTCAGGTCATGATCTCACAGTTTGTGGGTTCGAACCCCGCATCAGGCTCTGTGCTGACAGCTTGCTCAGAGCTTGGAGCCTGTTATCGATTCTATATCTCCCTCTTTCTCTCAGAAATAAATAAAACATTAAACAAAAGTGTAACTTATCTGTAGTTTTTCAAAGTTTGTATTTTAAAAATTGGACTTTTTCTTTTTTGTTCTTGGAAATAGTAATAAATGCAAACAAAGAATTCAGTAAAACTGTCAGAAACGCTGCCCCTTACATCATCATGTGTTCTGTCCATCAGGAATGTGGAAATGAATAGTGTTTTCTACTTTTTCACTTCCTAATGTTAGCATTGAGAACTGTTAATGCCGTAGACCTTTCCTCTCACAAATTTCCAATGTGGAATGAGGAAGTTTATTAAACTTTTGAAATTATACATTTGGTATATTTGTGATAGCAGCACTTTGCTATACCAAGTAGCAAAAATCTTTTACTCATTATTGAGAGCAATTTATATAAAATAAAGCCTCCAAGACTTAATGATTCTGTTGTATCCTTATGTCCATTTGCTGGTAGAGATTATTATTGTTATATATGTCTCTAAGCTTTTTTTTTCCCATAAGTTTTCTTATTTTTTCAAGTTTATTTATTTATTTTGAGAGAAAGAAAGCACGAGTCAGGGAGCTCAGACCAGCAAACTGTGAGATCGTGACCTGAGCTGAAGTCAGACGCTCAACCAACTGAGCCACCCAGATGCCCCTTTTTCTAAGCTTTAATTAGCCTTTAATGGCATCCTTGTGATGGTTTTTTTTTATTTTATTTAGGAAAATTGAACATTTTACTTGGTTACTGCTCCAGAGAAAGATGATGACAGGCACTTAAGTTTTTATTAATGTCAATGTCCTTGCTACCAAATAATGCTTCTAAATGGAGAACCCTGAAATGGCATATTGTTTCTTTTGAGTCTGGGAAAGCAAAAGGACTTTTTATTATGCTTATTACTATTTTGGTTGAATTCTGCATTGCCTTAATTTAAAGAAATCAATGATATTTATATTTATGAAATGAATAAGCCAGCTGTATTGAATATGCATACCTTGAAATTCAAATGAACACAATGCCCAGAATATAAGTATGTTCTGGTTAATTTAATTTTCTGTTCTTAGAGTTAACCTAACTGATTTTGTTTCTGTATTTGCTAAAAAATCAGTCTAAAATGTTCAGTTTCTTTTCTTTTTGTTTTTAATTTTTTTAATGTTTATTTTTGAGAGAGAGAGAGAGAGATAGACAGACAGAGAGAGGAGCAGGGGAGGGGCAGAGAGAGTGGGAGGCACAGAATCTGAAGTAGGCTCCAGGTTCTGAGCTGTCAGCACAGAGCCCAGTGTGGGGCTTGAACCCACAAACTGCAGGATCGTGACCTGAGCCAAAGTCAGTTGCTTAACCAAATGAGCCACCCAGGTGCCCCTAAAACGTTCAGTTTCTTTATTGCTTTAACAAATATACTTTATAGTAAACATATTGTAAATACTTTTTGAGTCAGGATCATTGTTGCAGAGTTTCTAGCCAACAAATGTCTGTAATAGTGACCATAATGGAATCGACCAACCACATCTTGTATTCCTACATAACACATCTGCGTGGGAGCATGGACTCATGGATAAGTTTGTGATTGTTCACAACAGCTCAGATATGATCACTCTGAAGATCATTTCTTATTGAATTAGTATTGTAATGTTTTATTTAGGTATTCACTTATCTCCTTTTCTGAGGGCAGTATTTTATTCTCCTCTATTTCTCCCCTCAAGCCTGATTGGGATATGAAACAAATATGTTAAATACTTTATCATCCAAATACCATAAGATTAAGTACCCATATAAGAGTTCAGACTGTGGGTATCTAGGATTTAAGAATAAGAAGATGGAATGCCTGGGTGGCTCCATCAGTTGAGTGTCCAACTTTGGCTCAAGGCATTATCTCACGGTTTGTGAGTTCAAGCCCCATGTAGGGCTTTAAGCTGACAGCACTGAGCCTGCTCCAGTTTATCTGTCTTGCTCTTTGCCCCTCCCCCATCATGCTCATTCTCTTAAAAAGAAACATTTTTTAAAAAGGGTAAGGAGATAATAGCAATTACCAATCACTGGCAAAGGTAGATTCTTTGAGACCCTGCTGAATAAGTGAGACTTTGGAGAAAGAGTATAATTTAGGTCTTAGGAAGTGAAGGCAGAAGGGAGGGTAGCAAAATAACTATAACCCAGGCAGGAGATAGTATAAAAACCAACAAACTGGGATTGAAGATACAGTACTTTTGGAAGAGAAAAAAAAATTCAGAGTGATAGATGCCATAGGATATTGAGTTAAAAAAATAATTACTGAACTCAGAAAGTAGTGAGAACCATTCCTTTTTTTTCTTATTAAATTCAATCCCTGATGGCTTGTTTCTTATATTTTTCTTGTTTTTTTTCCTCTTCTACATAAAATTCAGATAAAAGGCAAAATGTTGGTTGTGAATTTTGATTGATTTTAGTTAATTGAAAATATGGGTTTTGTTTAAATGGATTTTAGATTTAGAGTATAATTTGATTAGAAGCCTCAATAAGCATCTAGATTTTGAAATATCTTGTGTATTCTTCTGATATACTACTTTTTCTTTTAAAAAATTGTCTGTATGGCTTTATTTTAGAAAAGCCAGCGAGGGTTTGAAGACTATAAACCCAGATGAGACAGCACCCTCCATGCGATTGCTGGCCTATGGTAAGTTGCAACTGCATGGTGTCATTAAGAGAAAAAACCTGACTTGGCATAAAAGCCAATTTTATTTTGATATCGTTGTAGATTTCAAATAGCTTTATTTTACTGCTTTGGCCTATTGGTGTACATTGTGTCTTTTTCTAGCTTTACAGAACCATTATATAAAGAGAAATAATTACAGGTGCTCTGTGTGTCTATTAAATATTAACTAGATTTGAAACTTGGGCTTTTAATATGTATGCACTCTAGTTAACTACTGGTTTTTAAGTGATATTACTGTTATCTTCTCTGGGTAGTTACCATGACTGTGGCTGTACTAGGAGGACTTTTCATATTAATATAATTAATACCTTGTGTATTTGTCTTTCAGAGTTATGTTTTAAAGACTGGATCTAGGCCCCTAAGTTAAGTCACCTTTGTTTGATCCAGGAATTACTTTCTCTAATCCACAGTCATCCCTCAAGATCAGTTCCAGTTTTGAACCCTCAAACATAATTCTACAGACTGTTAACATAAACCAAAGCCAGAACTTCAGCATTGTGTCCTTCTCGGTCTCGCGTATTGCTTCTGTTCCTTTCTAGATCTTTCTCTCTCCTTTTCATTTCTCTGCTATGTTCCACTGTTCGTTTCCCTTCCTTTTACACCATACCTGCTCTCTTTGTTATTTAGCCAAGCACTCCTCTTTCCTGAGCCAGCTTTCCACTGCTTCTCCAACAGCATGTGTCCTTTTTCGCCTTCAAAAAATAATATTCTCTAGTCCTTGGAAATTTAGTTTGAAGAGAATTCATAACATGAAATGGTCTGTGTGTTTCTTTCTCTTTAGTTTCTGGCTTGGGCTTTGGAATCATGAGTGGAGTATTTTCCTTTGTCAATACCCTTTCCGACTCCTTGGGACCAGGCACGGTGGGGATTCATGGGGACTCTCCTCAGTTCTTCCTAAATTCAGGTATGTGCCTACCAGTTGTGAACGTTAAATCTTCTGGTCTAAATGATCATCCTTATTGGAGTTACCTGGCTTAGGAATTCAAGTGAAGATAAATTTATGTGATACCTTCTGAAGGCAAAACACCATTAGACATCAGGAGCACCCACGTGGTTCAGTCAGTTAAGCGTCTGACTTTGGCTCAGGTCATTATCTCATAATTAGTGGGTTCAAGCCCTGTGTCAGGCTCTCTGTTGATAGGACAGGAGCCTGGAGCCTGCTTCAGATTCTGTGTCTCCCTCTCTCTTTGCCCCTTCCCCACTCATGTGTGTGCATGCTGGCTCCCTCTCTCTCTCTCAAAACTAAAGAAACATTAAAAACAAAAAAGGACCTAGGAAAACAAAAATTTTGGTTAGAGTATTTTAGAATTTTAGGGTGGAATTTAGCATACATAAAATTTGTTTTTATTTTATTGTACTAATAATGTTGCTGTGTAGTTGATACAAGTGAAGTTTTATAGGATATATGCTTTTTGATTTTTATTAATTGTACTTATTTTCAGTATTTATTGTATTCTCAGTATAAGCCCTTTTTGGGTTAGGCAGTATGACTGAAGTTTGAAATTGAGAGGGGAAAATTGGTTGTTTAATATAATGTTATGCATCTAAAATGTATATTTATACCTATCTGTATTATTTAAAAAATAACAACAAATCTTCCCTTTTCCTTAAGAACTAGAACATTAACAGAACCTTAGAGTCCCTTGTTTCTCATTGTTTCTTCGCCACAGGTAATTGTTGCCTTGATTTTGTTTTGTTATTTCCCTAGGTTAACCAGGTTTGAAAGCTAGGTTTTTAAACATGTATACATGTTTTGTTTTGAAGGTAAAACTTTACCTTCATGTATGTATCTGAAAAAAATTAAGTTTTCCTGCTTTTGAACATTTAAAAATAAATCATGCTATGTTCTTTGAAAAAAGAAATTGAAAGGAAAAAATGGTCATAGATGAGTTGACCTTTTAGCTTTTCAAATTTTTATTTGAATTTCAATAAATGTAGGGGCGCCTGGGTGGCTCAGTAGGTTAAGCGTCCAACTTCAGCTCAGGTCATGATCTCACGGTTCGTGGGTTCAGAGCCCCATGTCAGGCTCTGTGCTGACAGCTCAGAGCCTGGAGCCTGTCTTTGGATTCTTTGTCTCCCTCTCTCTGACCCTTCCCTGCTCATGCTCTCAATCTCTCTCTCAAAAATAAATAAAAAACATCAAAAAATAAAAAAATTAAACATTAAAAAATAAATTTCAGTTAACATAAAGTGTAATATTGGTTTCAGGAGTAAAATTCAGTGATTTTTTAATATATTTTTTTATTTAAAAAATTTTTTTAAATGTTTTATTTGTGAGAGAGAGAGAGACAGCGTGAGCAAGGGAGGGTCAGAGAGAAGAAGACACAGAATTTGAAATAGGCTCCAAGCTCTGAGCTGTCAGCACAGAGCCCGACGCAGAGCTTGAACTTATGAACCTTGAGATCATGACCTGAGCTGAAGTCGGATGCTTAACTGACTGAGCCACCCAGATGCCCCTAGAATTCAGTGACTTATCACTTACAGCACCGGGTGCTCATCACAAGTGCCCTCCTTAGTACCCATCATCTATCTAGCTTATTCCCACCCACCTCCATCTATCAGCTCTCAATTTGTTCTCTATTATTAAGAATCTCTTAAAGTTTATTTCCCTCTCTTTTCTTTTGTTTTTCCCCCTCCCATAAGTTCATCTGTTTTGTTTCTTAAATTCCACATATGAGTGAGATAATTGTCTGACTTATTTCACTTAGCATAACACATTCTAGCTCCATCCACATTGTTGCAAATGGCAAGATTCATTCTGATGGCTAAGTAATATTCCATTGTACATATATATCACATTTTCTTTATCCATTCATCAGTTGATGAGCATTTGGGCACTTTCCACAGTTTGGCTATGTTGATAATGCTGCTATAAACATTGGGGTGCACGTGTGTCTTTGAATCTGTATTTTTTTATCTTTTGGGTAAATACCTAGTAGTGCAGTTGCTGGATCATAGGGTAGTTCTATGTTTAACTTTTTGAGGAACCTCCACACTGTTTTCCAGAGTGGCTGCAACAGTTTGCATTCCCACCAGCAGTGCAAGAGGTTCCCCTTGCACTTCGTTCCCGTTTCTCCACATCCTTGCCAATACCTCTTGTCTTGTATGTTGTTAATTTTAGCCACTCACAAATGTGAGGTGGTATCTCATCATGGTTTTGATTTGTATTTTCCTGATGATGAGTGGTTTTGAGCAACTTTTTATGTGTCTCTTAGCCATCTGGCTGCCTTCTTTGGAAAAATGTCTATTCATGTCTTCTGCCCGTTTCTTAACTGGATTATTTGTTTTTTGAGTAATGAGTTTGATAAGTTCTTATAGATTTTGGATACTAACCCTTTACATCAGATATGTCATTTGCAAATATTTATCTTCTCCTATTGTGTTGGTTGCACTTTTGTTGACTGTTTCCTTGGCTGTGCAGAAGCTTGTTATCTTGATGAAGTCCCAGCATTTCATTTTTGCTTTTCATTCCCTTGCCTTCCACAACATGTCTAGTAAAAAGTGGGTCAGAGAGATTGCTTCCTGTTTTCTCCTCTAGGGTTTTGATGGCTTCCTGTCTTACATGTAGGTCTTTAATCCATTTTGAATTTGCTTTTATGTGTGGTATAAGAAAATGATCCAGTTTCATTGTTCTGCATGTTGCTGTCCAGTTTTTGCAATAGTATTTGTTGAAGAGACTTTTTTTCCATTAGATATTCTTTCCTGCTTTGTTGGAGATTAATTGCCCATATAGTTGTGAGTCTGTTTCTGCGTTTTGTATTCTGTTCCATTGATCTGTGTGTCTGTTTTTATGCCAGTACCATGCTGTCTTGATGACTATAGCTTTGTAATATAGCTTGAAGTCCAGAATTGTGATGCCTCCAGCTTTGCTTTGCTTCTTCAGGGTTATTTTGGCTATTCGGGGTCTTTTGTGGTTCCATACAAATTTTAGGATTGTTTGTTCTAGCTCTGTGAAAAATGCTTGTGATATTTTGATAGGGATTGCATTAAATGTGTAGATTGTTTGGGGGTAGTATAGCTATTTTAAAAATGTTCTTCCATTCCATGAGTATGGAATGTTTTTCCATTTCTTTGTGTTTTTTCTTCAGTTTCTTTCCTAAGTGTTTTGTAGTTTCCAGAGTACAGATCCTTATCTCTTTGGTTAGTATATTCCTAGGTATCTTAAAATTTTTGGTGCAACTGCAAATGAGATTGACTCTTTGATACCTTTTTCTGTTGCTTCATTTTTGGTGTATAGAAATGCAACAGATTTCTGTACATTGATGTTATATCTGCGACTTTGCTAGATTCACATATTAGTTGTAGCAGTTTTTGGATGGGTCTTTCAGGTTTTCTACAGAGTATCATGTCATCTGCAAGTTTGACCTCTTCCTTGCCAATTTGGATGTCTTTCGTTTCTTTTGGCTGAGGCTAAGACTTCCAGTATTATGTTAAACAGTATGTTGAAAGTGGACATCCCTGTCTTGTTCCTGACCATAGAGGAAAAACTCTGTTTTTCCCCATTGAGGATATTAGCTTGTGGGTCTTTTGTTTATCGCTTTTGATGTTGAGGTATGTTCCATATATCCCTACCTGGTTGAGGGGTTTTATCAAGAATGGATGCTATATTTCATCAGATGCTTTTTCTGTATCTATTGAGAAGATCATATGGTTCTTCTCCTTTCTTTTATTAATGTGATGTATCACATTGATTTGCAAATATTGAGCCACCCTGCAGCTTAGGAATAATTCCCAGTTGGTCGTGGTGAATAAATCTTTTAATGTACTGTTGGATTCAATTTCCTAATATCTTGTTGAGAGGAGTTGACCATTTCTATTCAAAGATACAGTATAAAAGGACCAACTCATTTCAAATTGCTTTTTCATCTACCAGGTAAAAAATGTCATCATGATGCCGTGATCATACATTTGCGAGTTGGTAATGTACATAATTAACATAAAATTTATCTTAAATGTTCAAAAAGAATCTTTTGAAAATAGTTTTAGGAAAATTCCACTGTTTTTGTTTTCTCCACAAGTTATATCATTAAAACAAATGACTCCCATGCACATATTCTATTAATTAAACATCACTTAACATCTTACAGGGTGCCTGGATGGCTCTGTTGGTTAAGTGTCCAGTTCTTGGTTTCAGCTCAGGTCATGATCTCATGGTTCATGGAGTGGTCCCCGTATTGGGCTTTGCATTGACAGCACAGAGCCTGCTTGGGGTTCTCTCTGTTTTCTCTTTCTGATCCTCCCCCCTCAAAATAAATAAACATTAAAAAAAATATTTAACATCTTTTACTAAAGGAACTTCTGTCCTTAAGGATCTTACCATCTGGTAGGGAAAATGAGCCCCCCCCCCCAAAAAAAGAGTAATTTGTTTTTATAGAATTTAAGATAGTAGTAGAACCAGATATAGAAAGATGTGCCCAAAATTTAAAAACTGCTGCAGGTATGGAGCCTCCTCAAAAACTATCCTATAATTCAGCAATCACACTACTAGGTATTTACCCAAAGGATACAGAAATATAGATTCAGTGGGGTACATGCACCCCAGTGTTATAGCAGCATTATCAACAGTAGCCAAGCTATGGAGAGAGCCCAAATGTACACTGACTGATGAATGGATAAAGATGTCACACACACACACACACACACACACACACACACACACACACACACACAGGAATATTACTCAGCCATCAAAAGAATGAAATCTTGCCATTTGCAACAATGTGGATGGAGCTAGAATGTATTGTGCTAAGTGAAAAAAGATAAAGACAAATACCACATGATTTCACTCACGTGGAATTTAAGTAACAAAACAAATGAACATATGGGAAGGAGAAAAAGAGAGGAGAGATTGAAACAAACCACAAGAAACTCTTAATGATAGAGAACAAACTGGGGGTTGATGGA